CCCACCGCCGACCCATTACCTTTGGTTGAGTCTAACACCCATTTCGCCGCCCTACCTGATGATAATCGACCTATATTTAATTATGCCGCCCCGATGATCGATTCCGTATCCCATTGACCGAATCTATGGGCCTCGCGCCACTACTCACCAAATGTGCAAAATGAGAATGAATCTTCCGCTAGAACACGGGCAGATACACCGCCATATTTTGTCTTTTGTGCATGTCGCGAGTAGTGCAGCGATACCCTGTATCCCATCCCATCCCATTAATCGAATCTATGTACCCAATGGATCGAATCTGTACATCCCATTCATATGAACCTATTAACTATTCTGCATCGCATTTAGGGCGCAGTTATGTAGTGCTCAACATACGACAGCATTTTTTTTTGAATGCAGCAGGACAAATTCCCTGTGCAGGTTCATTCAGAATTTCGACGGATAGCGAATAATGCAACGACACCCAAAACCAACCCCAACGACCTCTACCTATGTTCGGTTCTGCCGACCCCGTGCTTGAATCTGTGCACATTCCATTAATCAAATCCGTATACCGCATTGATCGAATCTATATATCCTCAATACATATTACTCTACTCTTATATATAACACACATCATATATCGCGCCAAACAGAACTGCCCGGTAAACCGTAGTAGGCAGAGAGGAGGAGAAGAGGAGAGAAGAGGACAACAAACGAGAGGCTGTGACAATACATAACATACTAAACTAATATATTTATATATCGTCAAACAGAGCTGCTGCCCAGTAAACCGTAGGCAGAGAGGGAGGGAGGGACAAGAGGACAACAAACGAGGGAGGGGTTGTGACAAACTGTTCCGTCGTCGGAGTTTCACCAACAGACTCATCAATCAGTAGAGGCTGAACCCTCAACACTCTGCAGCAGAATCCCTTGTTAACTGATTACACTAAGTGATAATCCCCGTTGAGGTGGTGGGGACCACCCCATTGAGGTGGTGCGCACAAACTGTTTCCTTAACCTCCGTTGAGGTTTGAGGATCAACACCTGCCCAGCAACTGATACCCCCTGAGGTGGTGGGGACCACCAACCACTGCCCTCAATGTACCTGTCACGAAAATCAAAGCGGACAATCATCACTCACCCACATCAGATGGAAAAGTCGATTCACACCCCATCATAAGCCAGCAAAACACCAACAACACAAAGAAAGGTCTGTCACAGCCAGAAAATACACTCCAGACACGCCGCCCATCATAAGCCAGCAAAACGCCCACAACACAAAGAAAGGTCTGTCACAGCCAGAAAATACACTCAAGACACGCCGCTGACACTAGAGCCACAATATATTTCTTAAGTATATATCGTCAAACAGAGCTGCCCGGTAATTGAACCGTAGGCAGAGAGGGAGGGAGGGAGGAGAGAAGAGGACAACAAACAAACAAGGGGCTGTGACAAACTGTTTCGTCGGAGTTTCACCGACTCGTTTATTTAGTATTATAATATCATTCATCTACTGTATATCCAATTGATCGATTCCATATATCCCATTCATCGACAAAGACGACGTATTGCCGAGACCCCATACGGAAGCCAGCAGCTACCTTGTTGCAGTCTAATTAATACATCGTAAAAATACTCCGTAGGCACTATTAAGACACAATACACTGAAGACGAACATTGTAAAAATGGAACATACACAAGGAGGAAAACGAAGAAGAAGGGCAACGAAAGCCGGAGAAGATGAAAACCCTGAAGAAGAGGAACAAGAGGCGTAGCTCACCTTCATTGAGGGGACTTTAGTCACGTTCCTCTTTAGTGTACCCTTCGATCGTCGTGCTCTGACCAACCCTCTCTTTCTCTCTCTCTCTCTCTCTCTCTCTCTCTCTCTCTCTCTCTCTCTCTCTCTCTCTCTCAATCAATCAATCTATCTATCTACCTATCTATATCTATCTATCTATCTATCACGCTTGGGCTTAGTGGACGTATTGGTCCGCATTCGCGAACACATTCCCTCAAAAGAGTCCTAATTTGACTATGCCCTTGCCTTCTCTGTCTCTTCGGCTCTCCGTCTCGTCTCAGACACATGTCCCCCTCCCCCTCCCCCTCCCGCTTCCGCTCGCTTTCATCACCTCCTCCTCCTGTACCCTAACTCCCGCTCACTTCTTTAGTCACCTCCTTCTTTGACTATGCCCTTGCCTTCTCTGTCTCTTCGGCTCTCCGTCTCGTCTCAGACACTTACCCTCCTCATTCATGCCCCGGCTACCGTAGTGTTCATGTTCACATCTCAGTGATCTCACAGTCGCTCGTTCTCCTCGGCTGGTCCGCACGCATCCGCCTGAATAGAACGCCCAGTCGTTGTTTCCCGCCTGAATAGAACGCCCGGTCGTTGTTTCCCGCCCGAATAGAACGCCCTCGGGACAGGCGGTTGATTTTCCAAAGGCGGGCGGCCGCCATACCACCAGTAGGACCTACTGACTTCACCCGAATAGAACGCCCGGTCGTTATTTGGCGCACCTTTCGGTCCACGTGCAGAGATAACCACCGTCGGCCGTTGTATTCAGGTGATGAAGAAGGTAGGCGGCACAGCCGCGCCATGTGACCGCCAGGGTTTGCTCACTGTGGAGGAGTTCGATTGGGCGGGCCTAAAACTCAGTGCGTAAACCCATGAAACTTTTTTTTTTTTTTTTTTTTTTTTTAACACCGATGAACTGTTGAAACAGAGACTTGCGTTCGAATCCAGCGGGAACTAGATGAATGAAATCCTCAATCCCGTCGGGTACTTCAGCCCGACATTGATATCTCAAGGCCCTCGCCCCCAAAGAAAAGGACGGATCCCGAAACAGGCGGGAACGGGCCCGGTGTCCATATATATATATATATATAATATCGGATATAAATATATATATACCCTATATATATATATGTTTGTTTGTTTTTTACAAGGAAAGGTAACTTATATTTCAGTGCCAGGAACAGACTACTACTACCGGTAGTAGTCGGACTTTTTTACTTATTTATGGACGTAATCTCGATCACATGCATCCAGGTCCAGGCGTAAATGCGGTCAGATGCATTTATGCATTTAAGATAGAACTAGTGTGAGTATGGGCCTCGCTTCACTCATCTCCAAATGTGCAAAATGAAAATGAATCTTCCCCTGGAAAATGGAAAGATGCACCGCCATATTTTTTGTCTTTTGTGCATGTGGAGGGTAGTGCAGCGAGGACAGCGAGGGCAGGCGGATGCATCCTGGAAGGCGACGCTGCTTGGGACCATCACTAACAAAACGTTTTTCCTTTTGTAATACCCTATCACTGAGCAGTACTGCAGTACATGGTCAGGGGCAGAAACTCAACAGCAAGGTACCACAGACAGAAGCCCCAGAAAGGGGAGTGGGTCAGCACAATGGGCTTGGGTGCACTACACTATAGGGCCTCGTTAGACACTGCTCGGGGACGCGACTCCAATCTTTGTTCCACCTCTCCTCAGAACCGATTTTCGAAAAACAAAAAGTGAAAACACTCCGAGGACAAATCCTCGGTCTCTGAGGATTTCCCAGAGGATTTCCTGGGCAAATTGTCCTCGGCTCCGAGCGACCTTGTGAGGTCCTTTGGGTCCCGAGGATCCATGACTCGCAGGGTGGCGGCGTTGAGCTTCGAAGGAAATCTGGAGGCGGTAGGGGGTCCATTCGTGCCAAAGAGGTCCTCCAACCGCCTCAGGAGCTTACTGTTTGTGGCGATTCCCCACACGGTGCATCTACACCTTCGAGGGACTCGTGCCGTTCGGACGGGCCTCCCAACGGTCGGAATTTCGGATTATGTAACCGTGCTCACAACGAGCCTCTCCCTGCATGAGTGTGCTGTCCTGGTCGTCTTCCTGATTGCCGTGTGTAGGCACTTGGGGCAGATGCGACAACGCGAGTGTGTGTGCTGTCTCGGCTCCACTTCGTTCATGGCTGACCTGTACCGCAGGCGGCCACTGCTGTTGCTCATCGCTGTGCTGCTCCTGCTCGTTGTCGTCTTCCACATTTGTTTCCTCCGCCGCCTTCCTGGAAGGAAACAGACGAGGCGAGCATCACAAAAGGCGAGGAAGATGGACAACCGTCTGACAAACAGCACGCTGGCAGCATGCCCAAGGGGCTCTTCACGCCAACAATGCACCGCCGTGCAAGGTGGAAGGCGGCCATATGACCCGACGATGTACAACCACCTGCCATCGCATAAGATCCCACTGCCTCCAAATGACAACGACGGTGAGGAGCATTGACCTTCAACAGTTCCTCTGGACAGCGGTTCCACAAAGGACTGGATGGGGAGCTATTTCTTTACACGGCTGATGATGCCAACGAACACAGAGCTGCTGGAGAAACCCCGGATGGCCATGAAGCTGGACTCGTGCATCGCAGCTTCGGTCTCAGGTTCGGCAGTGGCCCAGCTGTGTGGTCGCCAGTCTAGCTACAAGTGACAACCTGGCGAAGTCGAGGGCATGGGGGGTTTCGTACATCCGTGCAGGGTGTTCACGGGAGGTGGTGGGCAACCATGATTTCGTTTCATTTTTGAGGGGTGGGGTAGGGAGCACATGCTTCAAGGACGAAGACAGTGTGGGGGCCTCTCGATTGGCGATGCACAACAATGCAATCCATGGACGAGGGGATGCCGAGGACTGCTTTCGACAGAGGTCGTAGGCTGACAGGTTTGGAAGGATCATCGGCAACAAATGCGGCAAGCGAGCACTTCCGACATGATGAAAGGGGTGGCCAACATGCACATCGGACGCAACGATATCTTGGTGGATGGCGATGGGGGGGGTGTGAAAAATGCGGGGCGTACGAGGGCGACCGTGACGACGAGGAGGACATGGAGATCCGTCCAGTGGGAAGGAAGAGAGGCGGATATCGGGGCAGACAAAAGGCGGAACCGCTCGCAGGGCGACAAGGCAAGAAGGTTGTAAAAGACACTGCCGTGGGCAACGGGCCGAAAAGCAGGGATTTGTGGACCATGGAGCATATCATTGCTCTCATTTGAGCGAAAAGCGACCAGGATTTGCATATCGCCGGCTTGGGCCACAACTACGGGCGTGTGAAGAAGAAGAATTGAAAGTGGGACGACGTCGAGAAGAGGCTGAAGCAGATAGGGGTGATGAGCAGGAAGGCAAAGGACTGCCGGAAAAAAATGGGACAACCTTTTGCAGCAGTTCAAGACCGTTTACAAGTTCGTGGGCGAATCTGGGAAATCCAGGCCAAGGTGCCAAATTCGTTCGGAGGGTTTTTTTCGCACTCACGCCTCAGGAGAGGAGGGAGAAAGGCTTTGAGTTCTGAATGGACCGCCGTGTGTATGAGGAGATGAAGGCAATGACGAGGAGTGATCACACTATCCACCCCACGAATTTTGTGGACACAGGCGCACCTTGAGGGTTCACATGCCTGGGGCTAGTGGCGGTCGGAACGAATCGATGGCTAGCAAGGGAGGCGAGGATGGACAGGATGACGACCACGGATCGACGAACGAGTCATCCTTCAGCACGGGAAGCGGGGGCGGGGGCATCAAACGGAAGAATGCGAGACAACAGACCTTCGACGCAATCGCCGACATCATGGACAAGCACGGGAAGTTGATGGCGACCATGGTCGACAGCACGAGCAAGAGGCAGTGCTTAATTTTGATGAAGCACTGCGACATTCTGGAGAGGAAGGTGAACACGCAAAAGAACCACTACGAGAAGGCCGACCAGGCGGACTTGATGATGTGCAACGCCCTCCTAAAGATTGCGAAAGTCATCCGCGAGAGGTCTTAATATCGTGCGTTGATATATCTCCGAGGTTCTCCTTGTCGCCATGTGTATTCGGCAAGGCCATGTTGTCTTCGACGTCCATCATTTGTCACGTTCCATCATTGTGTTGCCGTGGTGCCCCAGAGATGGTCGTCGGAGGTGCACACGCGGCCCTTCGCTCCAGGAGAACTGTGCGCTCGTGATTCACAAGTCGGTGGATTGTTGTGTGCATTAGTGTGGTGTGCAGTCCGTGCCCCGGATCTGTCATCACCATCGCTGTGCGTGCTGCCGGTTTTCGTCAAAAGCATGCAGCAATGTCATGACAGCATGAAAGCATTTAACAAGAACAGTAGCAGGATGAACAAAAAAAAATCAGACGCATCTTCCCCGTGCATTGAAACAGGGTAAGTGTGAAATTTCATTCTTATGTTGAGATAGATGTTTTCTCGTTTTTGCCCCCATCGACGAACCTCGTTGGACGAGATTCGTGTTACACATCATAGAAATGACCGGCGAACCATCCACGGACAGTGGGAATGCAACACATTACAAAAATGTCATTTTCACAAAATCAATTTACAACAATACAAGCCCGGATGAGGACAGGACAAGACGCAGCGACGAAAAAGAACACGGGCGGACGAGACGGCCTACGGACGCACGTATGTGATGCGCGGATGGACGTAATTGCCATTACCCGTCAGCAAAATGTCCAAAAATACCAACCTACGGGCGACAAGAGCTACATCGCTCCCTGTCCCTACACACCCGTTATTGAAACAGAAGAAAACAAATTTGCAGCGATCAATCAACCAGCCAATCAATCAATCAATCAATCAATCAATCAGGGTGGCGATTTTAAGGAGCAGATCCTATACTCTCGCAGATCTGCTCCGATACCAAACTTTCACATGCCTAATCGGGGCACCGATCAGACCAAGAACCGACCTCTTAGAGACAATACAAAAATAGCGCAGTGGAAGACTGAAATACCAAAATCTGACTCAGCAAGGACAATGACAGGATCTGACAGCAATCATCATCCCTCAGTGTGAGTGGGCTCAGCACAGCATGCATGGAAGGTGCGTAGAATCCGGATACATCCACGGACAAATGGGGGAGAAGAGACAAAGGGAAGAGGGAGATAGGGAGGATCAGCCACCATAGCCCGATGAACCCAGTCTCCAATGTATCCCCAATGTCGCTGCTCATACAATGTCAAGCCGCAATGTCACTAAACTGGGCGAAGCCCAGAAAGTCACCCAGTCTCAAAGGTCAACTCTCTCTGTCTCTCTCTCTCTCTCTCTCTCTCTCTCTCTCTCTCTCTCTCTCTCTCTCTCTCTCTCTCTCTCTCTC